AAAATTTAGCACTTACCAAAAAAACAAAACAAAAAAAAAAGTTAATAAAAAAGTGCCTGGCCAGGGCTTGATAATAATGTTAACGAACAATGAAACAAAAATATTAATTATTTCAAATAATGGAAGCAGGAAAAAGAACCAGAGAAAGAAAAAAACTATTTCAAAAAAATAAATAAATTCCAAAATCACTTTTGTATATTAATAACAATTTCAAGTGAGAAACAGCAATAGTTCACTAACTATATCATGATTCCATTTATGAAGCTTATGGCAGGGTATTTATTTATGAGAGTGCATCTCATGTGAACATAAATTTACATGATATTTTGCTACTAGGGAAGCTGGTTTCAGTTTCATAATACATACATATTTACTCAATATAAACGTGATCAGCTAGAATGTGAGTTAACATTTTGATGCTACTAAAAATTCATAGATAAATTAAATGATACAGGGGATAATAAATGAATGATAAACAAAACCGTAACCAAAAATATTATGTAATTTGCTATATCACTCCACTAGTGGTTAGATATCATGATTAATGCTTCAGAAACTGTGGGAATAGCAACTAAAGTAATAATTGCCATGCAGCCAGTTGAAGCAAGGCCAACTGAAACTGAGGAACAATTTGCAATTGCACGTAACTTAAGGTAGTTATACAGTTAACTGAGAGTGCAACTATACTGCACTGTTGTTATAAACCACTAATATGTGATTCTCAACCTGTGTTTGCAGCTAGCAATTCCCAGAACTCTTAAACAGGAAATATTTCAGGCTTGCATAGTACAAGGACTGTAGGAAACCAGGGTATTGCATGGGTAGTTTTTCTAGCCAACTTTGCATCGACACATTGAGCGATGATGCAAACACTGTACTCTGCATGTTGCACAGAAAAGAAACCCAGCCAAAATAGAGCTGGTTCTGGTAGAGAGTTGTTGGTTCTCTGTCTAGTCTTCTCCTTGAAACTGAACAAGATAATTGGTTTATGTTGGTTGATTATTGATTATTTCACTAAGTGGGCTAAAGCACAGTCCATCAATGATGTATAGGTTAAGAAATCCACAAAAACATGGAGCTTATTTTAACAGCTTATTTTATTTTTATTTTTCTGAGTTTCAAACGTTTGGGAGTGGCTTAGATGCACACTTTACTGTATCACTTCCAGTTTGTTAATACCAATGAGCTGACAGGAATGATCATTTACTGTAGGTCATGATGGCACATTTTCTGAGAGAACTGAACACTAACTGGTTGTTTGCTAAACATGCTCACATTTACTTGACAAATGCAGCTTCCTGAGGACATGTTGGAATGAGAAAGTGCTCCAGAATATTGTATGTACAGATATTGTATATAGAACAGCTATGAAAAAATAGAAGAGGGGGAACATGTCTGCATAACATGACCCATTTTAGAAACCAATAAATCAACAAATATGCTTACCTTTCAAACAATACTAAGTTAACTACAAATAAATAAGAAAGTTCGTTTAGCTGAAACATTTACCAGATACGCATGCCTCTTACAGTTAATTTAGGTAATTTTATATTTCTACACAAATTACCATGTTGTACCTGTTTTTTTGTAATTTCAAACAGGTGAATCTCTCCAGTCAAAGTAAAAACAGTGTTTTTGTCAGCATAGAAAACTAAACAAAATTGAAGGACTGAGCTGCAATGCACTGCAAGTCTTCCCTCATAATGAAACTTGAGGTACAAAACTGTTGCTTGCTCCTATTATATGCACGTACACGATTACTTAAATGTGTGCATGGAAGTATTTGTATTTGAGAATTCTACAAATAAAGCCATTAGACAGCAGAACTAACTCTGTACAGCAGTATGCTCAAAGTATGTGCTTCCAGCCATACTTTAAAATCTACAAATGTTCCATTTTTTACATTATGTGGCATTTTGGCTCTGAAAATTTGTCACTTTTGGGAAGGGCATGAAACAGTTCTTCCCGATTTAAAACATTCACACATTTAGATCATAAATACGTGTTCATACTGGGGATTTAGAATTTCCAAGATGGAAATACTCCCTTTACTTAATGACTGTAAAAAACAAATGTATATGGATCAACTTGGGAATCCAGGACCATCCAGAAAGAGACCTTCACCAAGTCATACCTCATCTATGGTAAGCATAGTGTTGTGTATTGTAACAGATGAGAATCCACGAATACAAAGATCAGTAGCAAAAGCCGTCCATATGTCTCAAACAACATTATGCAGCCCAGAGTGACCAGGTGGTTAGTGCGCTTGACTCGCAATATAAGGATTCTGGGTTCGAATCCCCATTCCACCAAGCATGCTTGCTTTTTCAGCTATGAGCGTGTTATAATGTGATGGTCAATTCCATTATTCCTTGGTAAAATAGTAGGCCAAGAGTTGGCGGTAGGTGGTGATGACTAGCTGCCTTCCCTCTAGTATTTCACTTCTAAATTAGGGGTGGCTAGCGCAGATTTCCCTTAATGTAGCTTTGTGTGAAATTTAAAAGCAAAACATAACGCAACATAGTCAAGAAGAATGTCCGTTTGAAAAATTCACATAAGCTGCTTCCACGAAATATCTGGTTTCCCGGTGGGACAGTGGTAAGTCTTTGGGTTTACAACGCTAAAATCAGGGGTTCGATTCCCTTCAGTGGAAACAGCAGATAGTCCGATGTGACTTTGCTATAAGAAAACACACACACGAAATATCTGTTCAATCAACCATGGAATAACTCAGTGAGCTAGAGAATGAAGTATATATATTCATGCTGTTCCACATGAAAACATACAAATCAAGTCGCTATATACAGTTTCTATCGATTTCTGTGCAAGCAGACTGTTGAAAGAGGCACTGGGAAACAATTGTCCTCGTAAATTACATGGTTTATCTCTGAACTTCAAGGAGGGATGGTGTGATTTGGATATGACAGCCTTAGGATAGAATCTTTTGCAGTGGAATTAATGCTGCAGGGATATTATCAAGATGCACAGTCGTCAGGTAGAATGTGATCGAACGTGGCGACATGGACTGTAAGGATCGTTTTAATATTACGTACTGAAATCAATCTCTATGTATGTCGAAACTTCATCATCATTCCTGAAAATAAATAGTCGCAACATTTAGGCTAGGCCTGCTCATCAGGACATGTCCAACATTTGTGGATTAACTAGGCTCTACTAGGGAAGGACTACATTAAAACAGGCATCCAAAATAAACTATATCTGTATTTAGGCTTGTCACTGAGAAATAATGAAAGTAACCATGGAGAATGTAAGCTACACACAATATACATGCTTTTTGGTATAAAAACAAAATCTTATTTTGCTTCAATATCTTACAGAAATAACCTTATGGTAGCTCGGAGATAATGCAATTTTACCATTTTATTTAGGAATAAAACGCTGTGACAAATATATGTCGAAATGTTAGGTTAATGTATTGGCGGTTTAGCAGGAAAGGTATGCAACGTTTAAGTTATCTTTAGGTTAATGTATTGGCGGTTTAGCAGGAAAGGTATGCAACGTTTAAGTTATCTTTAGGTTAATGTATTGGCGGTTTAGCAGGAAAGGTGTGCAACGTTTAAGTTATCTTTAGGTTAATGTATTGGCGGTTTAGCAGGAAAGGTATGCAACGTTTAAGTTATCTTTTGCGTTTTACGAGGGTAACCAAGCAATTTAAATAATTAAAAAAAAATGAATGAAATTGAATTACCAGTATTAAATATTGAACATATAGCATTGACCCGATTATTGGTACATAATTTTGATATATCTCATTGTACCTGCAGAATTATTGGTAGACGGAAGAAGATACCGCACTAGTTTCAAAGCACCTTTTTGATAAGTCTTTGTAACACGCCAAAGGAAGAATTATTTGGTGTATTTTATGAATATCTAGTAACAAAAAACAAAACTGTAGTTCATATAAATAATGTAATTGTGAATATCACATAAAAGTTTTGTTTCCCGGAGTGAATAAAGGTAGCGTCTTTGGCTTATATGCGAATTATAATATGTGATGCTTCATTACTTTTGTATTTATATACATATCTGCACTCTGGTCCCAAACTTTGCCTATGTTTGTTTATAACCCGTGCTTTTCCGTCCAGTTTACCCTGCTGTGACATCATACGTCACCCAGCAACACCGCTTGTTGTTATCGCACGTGTCTGGTCGCGTCATATATCGTCGATCAATTGATGGAATAGTTGTAGCCAATGATGAGGGCGGTAGTTCCTGGTGTTGATGTGGTGAAGTCGCCATACTCTCTCTCTCGTCTATTCCTTGCTTGAAAAAGGTTTCTTCTTTTCAACCGAGACAGAGCGAGTCTTCAACATAAACAGACCGAGCCGCTAACAAAGGAATGTAATACATACCTACGAGCCGTCTACAAGACGTTATTATCCGTATGGTTATGATGTGTTATTAGTGTGGCTTAGGACCGGCGTATTTCTTGAAGTCTATGTTTGTGACATTATCGGTTTGGGGCTGACGCTAACGGGTGCCATGCTGTTTAGTAGTGGAGAAAGGTTTGCTAGAATAAACCTTTGAGGCATTTGTATTGATTTAAAAAAAAATAATAACACGATGAAACTCGTCACACAAACTAGTCGTACAATAAATGATGTTGATTGAATGATTTGTTGTGACTGGTATACTAGTCCAAACTGGTTTTATATAAAGTATGGTGATTGGCTTGAGGTTGGATGATATTGTATATAATACATCTAAACATGAATATATAAAAATCAACAACTAAATTTTATTAACTCTGATTTTTTTTTGTATCCATAACTAGTTTAAATCCTTCACTTTGTTCTTGTTCCCTAAATTAACTACAATAGCAGTTATGGAACTGAAAGTAAAAAATTTTAGTTGGTAGTGAATATATGTTAAAGAGTTAAAGCAAGTTACAGATTGTTTGGTATGCTGTTGTTTTTTTTATCATACTGTTGTAGTGACAATGTTCAGTAAAGTTAAAGTTTTTAAATCTATTGAAACAGAGAATTGAAACAGAGGGACAGGCAAAAGCAGTTGGGGAAACAAACAACAAGACGAAGTACACGAATCATGGACCAGCATTTGGAATCCAATGGCTGTGAAGATGGTCCCATTCCACTAAATGTGACAAATCACTCAGATACTACACAGGAAAAGGTAAAGTATTTCATAGCTGATTAGATTAAATCTTAAACATACTGGCCATCTTAGCATTCAATGCTTGCTTATTTCATTTGTCTTCCAGGTTGTTTTCTAATAATAATATATTTTTAATTACGTTGCACAGGTTCGCTATATAGTACAGTTCTGGATTTCAGAGCTGGTGAGTCAGTTTTGAATCATTGCAATATCATGAAATATTCCCCACACATGAAGCTGTAGGTGCATTACAAGGGTAACAGTCAACTCCTTAGTGTGGATGGTGGGTGATAGGATGCTGTTGACTGACTGCCTTCTCTTTGGTCAGCAGTTCAAAAATTAAGGATGGTGGCAGATAGCCTTAGTAGCTTTGCCATAAATATTTATAAAATGTGAGCTGGAAATTACAGGCCTTCCAGTGAAGCCTATAAAACCTAATCCTTTATTTCCTTTATTCTCGTTCAGAATTGGCCTCAAAACCATTGAAAACATATACATTTGAAGATAAGCCTATATTTTAAACTGAAAACATATCCACAAAACTCTTGATACTGTAGTCAAGGCATTATCATAATTATCCAATACAGATCCATGCAAATATAATGATTGTGCAGAATTTTTGATGTGAAGAAATAATTCATACCTCATTATCAGCATTATATGAAACCTTTATTTCTGCAGTGGTGTATTTGGAAGCCTGAAATTAAGATCCTGTTAATTAATAGATTATTGAGATATTTTGATTTGATGTATGAAATTTATAGGGCACAGATGTTGAAGCTAGATAATTTGTAAATTATAATATATTTTACAAAAATTGTTACTCAGTAACATTACATATGGCCATGAATTGTAAAAGATACAGTTTAAATTACTTAGTAGATAGGCCATTATATTATAAGTATGAAGAACAGCACTAAAGAATAAGGTGGTAAAATCTTTCTAGGGTAAGTTTACCTCACAAAAGCTTTTGAGTATACTACATCAACATCCTGCAACATTTTTTTTTCACAAATTGTTTGTATGATCTCTTAATAGTTACATCTGTATTTTCAATTTAACACAAGTACTTTGTTCAGTCAAATAATACCAAGCTAAAACCCAAGTTATTTTATGTTCCAAGAAAACGATGTTTCTTAACTCAGTTTCTTCTTTACCATTAACTATTCTTTGTATCCTTTTGAACAGGTTATTATTTTTAACATGGTAAGACCACATACTAAAATAAAAGTATCCTTCTGTATTTCTCTTTTCTATCTCTCATGTTTAGCTTCCAGTTGAAGCTTGTATATATTAATTGTACCAGAGAAAATTTGTAAAAGCAGTTTTTATATTTCCTGATACATCTTTTCTTAAACTTTGTTTAATTTTTCACTTAAGATTATATGATAACATATCAATAATTTGTGATAATAATTAGTTTAGCGAAATTTTCAAACAATAATAGTTTAAATACTCTATAAAAGTGTTTACAAACAAGTTATAAATGTTCTTAACCATTTATTTTGATCATTTGACCATTGTTGAAAATTAATGTTGCTTCTGTGTGATAAAAGAATAGTGTTAAAAATAAATAATTAGTTTATAGTAGCAAATAGCACTACTATGTGAAATTAAGGTAGACTGGTGTATATTACTCACCAGACTAAGAAGTCAGATCGGCAGCCATCTAAACACTCATCGTCTGGTCGGCACGGACCTGCTCGTCCTCGAAGACAGGCTCCAGCTATTTCTGCTAGCATTCTTCTACCTCCTCCAGGTTCTCCACCAGCTGAGAGAAGACCAACTCGACACTCACCCTCCTCGCCAGGACAAACACATTCTGTCACATCTTCTGTTGAGAAAAAACCTCAAAAAGTTGCCACCTCTTCACCACCTCTTTCTCTGCCATCTCAACCATCACCAAACAAACACATTTCACAGTGTTCTCCTACTGCATCTAATGTTATACTCACCCAAATCATGTCTCTAAACAAGCCAGAGGTAACAACTAGTCCATCCAAATATGCTCGCCAATCACAGCCTTCTTCTTCTAAATTATCTCTGTCCACACCAGAAAGGAAAAAGCGGAAACGACATCCACAAACAGTCATGGATCCCATCCCATCTCACTCAAATAAAAGAATTCGTCTTCAGTATCAGCCATTCCAGTCTCCTGCACCAATAAGTCCTATTCCTTCCATTTTTCGACAACATCCAGCTAAATCTCCAGATGACAAAATTGTACTTTTTAACAAGGGAGAATTTCTAGCTGTACGCAACGAAAATGGTAAGTAATTTTTGAGTTTCTTAAATTACTGCATATGTTGGTTTTATTTGTTTTGACACCTATGCCTTAAAACTGTATCTCACAATTATCAAATTCATTTGATATGTATTTAAAAGGGGTGTTATGATTTACTTGAATAAAGAGTGTATTTATAAAGTTTATCTTTCACTGCTATACATACAATATAGAACATACTACATATAATTTTTTTAGCCTTGAAACATGCTATACCAATTGTATTTGTTTACTAGTTTTAAGAGTTAGATAAGTAATGAAATATTGAAATGTCTTTTTTTTTGTTTTATATTTTATAGATAAAAATAAATCTGGCACAGGGGGAATTCTTGATCTGTAAATGCAACAGTGAAAGAAAGAGTAAAGGAAAAATAAAACACAAGTGTATTTTATTTGTATGGAAAGTGACCATTTGCCAGTCAATACATACATTTGGTTGGGTCTTTTAAAGATAAGTTAGTGAAATATTAGACAGTAAAGTTATAGGTCTCATTAAGTTGTAATTTTTATTATGAAAATAATAGATAGTCCAGTGTGCACTGCAACAACTTTGTTTTGAGCTTTCTGATTTAGTTCTATAATACTGAGCCCAAATAATGTACTAGATGGTGGAAAGAGACAATAGGTTATCTAAACTTTTTTTTGTGAATTCAGGTTATATCAATTAGCCAAGTAAAATTTCTTATAATCTTTTCTAGAAAGCCTAAGTCATCTCCCTACTTTCCAGTTACAAATTTTATAAAATATCTGATACAACTAATATGTAGGTTAATGTGTGATGATTAGTTTGGTGAAAAATAATTCACAGCTGTAGAAAGCCAAAATTTTTCATTCTTAAATAATACATAATTATACAGTTTTTGCTGTAAAATTCGTACTAAATATATTCTTGCTGGCAATTTTTAAAGGTTTTGTATTCGTGGATGAAACCGGTTTCCCAACAAGTGTTAGATAGATGAATCTGCAGTAACAGCAGAGTTTGCCCAGGAATTTATGAGGGTTTTCATGAGAGAGATAATTTGGCAGAATTTTTTTAGTGTAAAAATAATGAGGCTTGACATGTCATAAACAAATAAACAAAATGTTTTAGTTTTTTCTTTTATTGGAAAAATAATGAGGCTTGACATGTTATAAACAAATGAATAAAATCCTTGTTTTGAAAATAAATAGAAAACCAATGCATGTATCCACTCTGACAAGTAAACAGTCCTTTCCTCCTCTGTACAGCATTTAGTTGTCTTCTTTCTCACAGGATCAATTGTAGTAGAACCAACACGATAATCTTCAAGAAAGTAGATTCTCTTGATAGATCAACTAGTGGAAAATTTAATCAAGAAAGTGTTCTTGAATCTGGAATGTAAACTCACTTTCTTTGTCCACTGGATGCATCACCTTGTGACCTCTGTTTCCTGACAGCATTGATAGGATGTAACTCTTTCAATCCAGGTGCTTCAGTAACTTATTAAAGTGAACAGAAAAATACAAAATAACTAGAAAAAACCATGTTAACAATTTCTGGGCCATATGTTTCTGCAATGACAGTGTAAAAGCTAGGTAGTGACTGTAGTGCCATCTAGGGGCCATCAAACTCAATTCATATTATTTCAGACATTGCAAAAAAAAAAAAATACACTGGGAAAAATTGGAAAAATTGAGACTTAGACTGAAAGTCAGTTGCCCAAGGTAGAAAAAAAATTGTTTTCTCATTATGGTATTCCAACACACACTCAGAAAAGCTAGACTCCTTTTCTGACGATATCCAGTATATCTATCTCCCACAAAGATGGATGTAAAATTCAGGGTGCACCAGGCAATATACTTTTCAGAGTCCTCACTACTTCACTAAATTTTTGGAGTGACTTCCTCAAAATACTGAACAATGTTTAACATCAGAAAATTCATTAGCTCAGAAAGCAAAGAATTGTGACACCCTTTTCGTTAGTAGTTTTCCAACTACCTAGCCATCTCAACTTTGAAGATCAACAAATTCCATTCATATTGATTGTAAGGTTGATGTTAGCTTCTTGAACAGTTCTAGTAACTCTTCATCTGGCTCCTTGAAAACCACAAGGTAAGTATCTGATGCTTCCTTCTCACTGTTGGGTGGGTCAAGATGACTTAAGATGTCCTCCTCTGACTCACTGAACTACTACAAAGACTCTGGGCTAAGCTAGTGCACCAAGGGCTTGTCTGTGACATATGGAAACAGCTTATTGACATGCCCCACATGTTTTTTCACACCTTGTGCTTGTATCTCATACATTAAAGGACCAACTTGTTGGAGTACCAGGTATGTACCAGTTCATATGGATCTAAGCTCCTTTTCTGCTGCTGGTATGTAACACAACCACACCTAGTTACCAGTGTTGGAATATCCATCTCTTCACCGTCTACTCATAATGCCTCCTCTGTTGCTGTGCTCCCTTCCTGAGTTGTTGTTGGCTAAAATCTTATTGTCTAGCCATTGTCAACCTTAGTCACTTTACATACTGTTGGGGGCACTGAGGAGCTCTTTTTGTTGTGGAGAACCATGCATCATGTCCACAGGGAGGGACATTCACTTTCAAACATGATCTGCTTTGGCACTGATCCTTGCTATTTTGCTTTGTATGTCATCATTACATAAGCTCACTTGGTTTCATTGAGTTTAACAAATAATGCAAGCATCAGAGTAGGTGTGATAAGGTGAAGTATGGGTCTTTACCACACCTAACACCTTACACAACTTGGGGAACAGTTGGCTGTTAACATTAGTACCCTGGTCAATGTGAATTTCCTCTAGTGCTCCAAATTATGCTGTCCGGCTCTCAGCTAACTAGTCCTTGATGGTCTGCACTGACATGTTGGTTAATGGATGCACTTTGGCCCACTTTGTGAAGTAGTAAGTGACTACATGTATGTAGTGATACTCCCTTGCAGATTCTAGGAGTAAAACAGCAGCATCCATGGCTATCCTCTGTAAAGGAGATCCAAGAAATGGTTTTTTCTTGGAGTTGACCATGCCTTGGCTGGTTCTTCTGCTGGGTAGCACACACTGCACAGCATTAACACTAGTGCTGAACATATTAACTCACTCACAGCCAGAACAGTACCATTGAATGTTAGCACAAGTACATGTCACACTTTGGTGCTCTCTTGTCCTGGTGTCATGTAAAGTCCAGATTATTTCTTGCTGCAGTGTTCTGCACTAGCTGCAGCACTGCCAGAACATTTTGCCTCTCAGGCTGGTAACAACAGTACAGACTTGCTTTTTGCACTCTCAGTTGTTTGTATAATTGCCACAGATGACTTCTGTCTGAGCTACACTCCTCTACTACTGCTGGGTGGGCTTGTCCTTGCTAGACAGGACTTCAAGAAGCACTGACAGTAGGTTAGGGTTCTTCAGTTCCTTGTCTCACAGCTTCTGAAATGTTAGTTTTGGCATTCATCCTTCAGTGTAATAATTTATTTTATGACCTGTTGTAGCTATGGCTGTTACAGTGGTGATTTCAACTCCCACATGATGTTCAGGATCAGGACATTACATGAACAGACAAGGTCTTTCTATGTGGCAAGATAGTCCATCTATATATCTATGTTACATGCCTGGATGATGGATTATGGCCATCCTATTATTGCAACATTATTATCCAACATGCTATTATCTCTTCCAAATTTTCAAAGCTTATGAACCACTTCAGTGAAGCATGATCCACCTAGGTGGTGAACTTGCTACCATACGAGTTGCTGTGGAAGTGCTTTATGAAGACATCCACAGGAAGTACTTCTTTCTTTGTTATACAGTATCTGTGTTGAGGAGCCATAAGCATATGACTAGCATATTCACTTATACATTCCACTCCATCCTGCACCTCTGATACCTTTGGTGCTGATTTCATGGTCTAGGTAAAACAGTCTTGAGGAGTATAGGCTAGCCTCAGAACGTCAACTATAGCAAGCTTCAGGAATCCAAATGCTTGATCACAATTTTCACTCCAGTCAAAGTGCACTTCCACTTTTGTGAGAGCTGACAGTGATGAGAAACTGACCATAAATTGTTGCCTGTACAACACAAAACCGAGAAACTTCAGTTTTCTTGTAGTCAATGGCTAGTCTCTCACTGTAGCCACCTTACTCATGTCCATTGAGACTATTTTTCCTGGAAATGTGGCCAAGGAACTTCACCTTTGTTCCTGTGAGCAAATACATCTTGGGGTTCAGTTTGAGGTCTCATTTCTTAGGCATTGGAATACCACTCTCAGATCCTCGAACATTGCTTTGAAAGTGTTGCTGAACACTAAAACATTGTCAACACAGACCAAGCATTTGTCCAACTGAAGTCTCTTGATGGTGGCTGGGGTATTACACAGACCAAATGACATGACAAGAAATTCATACAAGCCATCTCTCGTGCTTAAAGCAATTTAAATTCTGATTTTGTCATCCAGTTTGATGATACAGTACCTAAATGCAAAAATGTTAAATGAATGGGAGCCTTCTAACTCCTACAGACATTCATCTGTTCTTGGTAATAGGAAGTTGATAGTGTGAGTTACCACATTTACCTATCAGAAGTTCACACAGGACTTTGGAATGTCTTCTTTATGTATGACAAGTACCACTGAAGATGAGAAAGTACTCTTTGAAGGTTGTGTATGATTCATTTTTTGCAAAATTTGTATTTCAGTGTCCAAAGGAAGCTGGTGTAGCAGTTGATTTTTTTTTAATGTGTGTCACTCACTATATGGTGCTGCATATCAGTTGTTTGACCCAGTTGGCCACAAACACATAGGCATTTTCACCCAACAATTCACCGTGTTGGGTATACATTGTCAGCACAGTTGTCAACCAATGCCCTCAAGTTTGTCAGTAGCCCTGTATTTATTCTCAATTGCAGCATGACAGATGCAACCCAAATGGCCACTTCCACTTTGCTTTCCTGCCAAAGAATATTTCATTATGAAGCTGGATAGGTGATTGTCCATAATTGCAAAGTAATACTGGAACTGCATTCCTTGTAGGGCAGATTACTGCCTGAGATAGTGTTACCTGCTTTTTGGGCAGGAAACAGTTTATGTTTTGTGTAGCTTCTGTAACTGCCTTGTGAGGCACCAATGCATAGAAAGTTGTTCGGATTAGTCCAGCGAATAGATAGCACTCGTATACATGAAGGTACTATAATCCTTATTGCCACATATACTTGTGCAGCTCATTGTTCTTTTGCTCAATCTGGGTGGCATTAAATGACTTTCCCTTGGAACATCAGCTCATCTCTTTCACAGGCAAAACTGACAAAATACTCTGCAGTACATCCATCATGGGGATGTCTGTTTCTGACCCAAGATTTGAAACAACCATTTCATTCTGTGGGTGACACCTCCCAGACTGAGCCAGAGATTTACCTTCCCTCTCACGCCTAGCATAGAGCAATTCTGTATTCATTGACCATAGTTGTATCTTTACTGGGAGGGCTTGGAAGATTGCAAGGTCCACCAGGAATTCAACTTCCATCTTTGCACCTTTATAAGCACAAACCAGACCCTACTCAGCACTCACAGAGCTTGAATGACCACTAGACTTCTTGGCATGTACCAACTACTGTGTTCTCTCAAACTGGTGGCAAAGCCTGGCTTAGGTTGTATTATTTTTCCAGAGCATTAGTTACAACATCTACCTGTTGTAACTGATCATCTCTGATCTGATGGCTGGTTCAAGTATCTTTCCCCAATTTGCTACCCAGCAAAGTGAGGATGTTAGGTGTTGGTGGGCCTCTGCTGGGCTGATGACTGGAGTCGGTTGCCCTGCCATCCTTTTGATGCCACAAAGCCCCACACATCCACAAGAGAAGCAGAATTTTTTTAGTTTCCATCTTGAATGATTTCCAGATGGAGGCAGCAGCCCTGGCTGTGGTAATGCCCTATGGATGGGTATTTTGGTGCAATTTATCCCATGGAAGGGCATGCATAGCCTTTACCACTCACTGGAGGTCAGTGTGGCTGCTGCACATTTTCATCCTGTGGAGGTGGCTGGCTACTACTCTCTCTTGAGTTTAGCATGCCATGGTGGCAGTACCTGCATCACACCCCTTTGCCAGTGAAGTTGCCACTTCAAAGCATGTCACAATGGGCATGTTTTCCGAGAGAGTGAAGATGTCCTTCACCTCTATCTGCTGTTGCATAAGTTCATTGGTGAGTCCTTCAATGAACTTACCTATCAGGATGTCCTGATCTGCTGAGACCATTGCTGGGTATGTTTTTCTGTACAATTGGTACAGGTAGTCCACATAAGTGGCCAGTCCCTCAGTAGCTCCCTTCTTTCTGGTCTTAAATTTGATCTGAGAGATTGCCTGATCTTTCACCAGTTATGTTTATAATTTGTTTAGTTACCCTTTGTCTAAGTGGTCGACAGTATCAAGGATCAAATCATCTAAGCTCAGGATCAGGTGTTGAACAGCCTGCTCTGTAGTCCATCCATTCCTAGTTGTGACCTGTCTGAAACTTTTTAGGTATTGATCAAAGCCTCTTTTTGAATATAGAAGGCATAATTTGTTTGGTCTCATGTACAGAACTCTGTGTGCCAGGCCAGAACCCATTCTTTTTGTATTGATCCTGACAGGTATCAGGAGGAGGTGTTGTCAATACTTTTGGTTCCTGCTGGAAGCTATTTACAGATACTCTTACTCCTCAGCTGGTGGTTGACCTCTGATTCTTGGCTGTTCAGTGATGAACTGATAATGGTGGTTTGCCGAACAACTCTTCACAACCCGAGTTGTTGGGGACTGTCATCACTGTGATGGGGAACCTCTCTGTTCTCCACTGTGCCTTGGTCCATGGGTAATGGTCTTCATCAGTGTATGACCATTGCCTCAACTGTTTGGGAGACAATACTAACTGGTAGAAATCCTATGTCAGCAGCATTCCCAGCCTCTGTTCACTAGTCATTGGTGGTTTTGACCAGAGTCAGGGTTTTATGCTCTGATTGCTGATGGACTGGAAGTTTGGTAGAGAATCCCCATGTGTTCTCAAACTCACTAGGTGCCTCACCATTCCTGCAGACCTTGGTTATCCATGCTTCCCTGTTGCCAAGATTAATTCTCAGAGGCACCACTTGCTTGTGTGGTCTTGTTGCACCATATGTGAACAGATATCCCTGAGTCAGCAGTTGCAGATTGGGGGATGTAAGTGACCTTCACAGCATTGGGAAAAAGTCTTAACTTTAGGAGAGGTCTCCCACTAGACTCAACACACTTCCCACTGAACCGTCTCTCCATGAATGGACTCTTTATCTCTCTCCATTATAAATACTTCAGTATTCCGAGAAAGTCATTCTTTTTATGGAAGCATTACCTTAAACTCATTGTATACAAAAGATTAAGCTGGGTTTAGTATCGTGTTATCTCAATACAGAAAAACCCCACAATAAATTCTCGTTACAGCATCAAATTTTCCTCTTTCTATCTACTTGTGGTATTCACTTATGAAACTGGTTTCCTGACAAGTGTTAGATAGATGAATCCACAATAATAGCAGAACTTGCCCAGGAATTTATGAGGGTTTTTGTGAGAGAGATAATTTGACTGAGTTTTTCCTTTAGTGTGAAAATAATGAGCCTGGACACATTGTAAACAAATGAACAAAATCCTTATTTTGAGAATAAATAGAAAACCAATGTGTGTTTCCAGAAAACTAGTGCGTGTATCCACTCTGACAAGCAGACATCCTTTCCTTTTATAGATAGCATTTAGCTCAGTTGCTTTCTTTCTCTCAGGATTGATTGCAGCAGAACCAAGACAATGGTCTTCAAAAAGTTAGATCCTCTCAGTAGATCAGCTAGTGGAGAACTGAACCAAGAAAGCATACTCAAATTTAGAATGTAAACTTGCTTTCTTTGTCAAGTTGATGACATCACCCTGTGACCTCTGTTCCCTGATAGCATTGATCGGCTGTCACTTTCAGTCGTCATAATCGGCCAGGAAAGAATATTCCAGTGCTAACCCATTCGACCTAGATGCTTCATCTAATGCTGAAATATCCTTGTGGGCAAAGGAAACATCACCTATTAAAGAAAAGAAAGAAACAAAGTAACTGGAACAAGGTAGTGTTAATAACTTTCTGGACCACAGGTTTTCACCATGACACTGTGGAAACTAAGTAATCAAAAATGTTGAAAATTTCTACATCACTATTGAAAGTAGAAAAAATAAACATATATAAAAAAAAAACCTCTTACACTTTATTTTATATTTATTAAAAATGTTCTCTATTTCTTGAACTGAGGTCATTAAGATTTCCTGTATTGTATTGAAAGTTAACTGAAGCACTAACAGTTTGAAAAATCACTTTATTTCATAACATTTTTATATCCCAACTCTTTTTTTTCTTCAAATAATTGTTGCTATACTATAGGTGTTTTGACATTGGTCTCTTTGTTAAGAAGGGAATTGAATGATTTTTTCGAATTCATGGTTTGCCAATGAGAATTTCAGAAAAAGTTGGCATAAATTTAATTTAGCATTTCTATTGCCAGGATTAGAGTTTTAATATACTAGTAATATCATATTGCTTTGTGTAGTTACCCTGTGAACAAAAAAAAAGTCTTACAACAATTGTTACTGAGTTTTATTGTTTTTTGCCAGATGTTTAAACTTTAACAACATTTAATTCTGTTCCGTTCCTGATTTTCAAAACAGTTATTAGATAGTATTGTGGACCAGTGCAGGTATAGAACTAATATGTGCAACCTCATTACATGTGTGTACTAGCAAATGTTTTTCTACCTTTCACAACGTTAATTTCATTTGTTTCTCCGTGGATGGCATATGCTATTTGCCTTGCAGGCCTATTGAGTATGGATCATTAATGTAGTCGACCATGCTATGTACAGCATCAGACATCACTTTCATTTGGCATTGGCTTCAGTTAATGAAGATTGAAAATTGAAGTGGATACCAAACTTGAATTGTTTGCCTTATCACTTGTTCATTTAAACTTGATCTTTCGGGGGTCCACCCGAGTTCCTCTAAAATATTTCATCTAAATTGGTTCTCCAATAACTTGTGAAACCAGATGAGTGTACAACTCTGCTTTATGTAATTTGTACAAATGTGTCATATTTTATAAGTGCTACCATAAAGGTGTATTAGGTCATACATGTGTGTGTGTGTCATATTATGGCTAAATCAAAAAAGGTAATTTTTCAGTATGATTCAGGTTATTAATGCTTGCCACAGTGAGAATTACATTTTGAAGATTTTTCTACCCAGAACTAAGAAGTGCATGAAAGCCTGCAGTTTAGCAGTATTATACTTTTAATGTTGACTCCAAACATAGTTCTTGATAGTTGGTATTGCATAATTTATGTAATTATTACTTTTGATAAAAAATGTACTTAAATTTAAACAATAAATTGCAATGGTGAGAGAAAAAATTATTTTTATACTTTTTGCAACCTACTAATGAATTTATTTGTTTTCATGGATGAATGCATTCAACCTAATGGTTGGACTGTGGATCTTAGGTTTTGTACTTCATTGTATTTTATTGTCCCCCTCCTCTCCCAATCACCTTCTACAATTTGGTGTCATAGGTGCATTATAGGAGTGACACTCAAATCCCATTATTCAATTAGAATAGCTTAAGAGTTGCTGGTGAGTGATATTGACTAGCTTCCTTCTCTCTAGTCCATCATTTCAAAATTAGGGATGGCTAGTATAGATAGCCTTGAGTAGCTTTATGTGAAATTCAACAAGCAAACATTTATTTTCATTAGAAATAATTATAACTTTTATTTTCTTGAAATAAGAAACTGTTTGACATTTTTAAACCTGTGATAAAATGTGAAAGAAGAATGTTTTGAATGTGTATGTCCAGAGTTTTAGTTATGATGGATAATATTTGTTCCTTATGCAATAGAGAAGTTAATTAGAATAATGAGTATTTTTTCCCCCAAACAGGTGGATTCTTTGTGTGTCGGGCATCTCAGAATGTGTATAAAAGCAGTAAACGATTCAAAATCCAGTGGCTGAGTAATGACAACAACACTAGTGTTTACACCCCAGATTTCTTTGACTTTACTGGTATGTGATACTGTTGTTTTATCATGCACCTTACCATTGTTACCCCATGTTTTGGAGGTTTCTAAATTTGAATATTTTGAACATTATCATGAGGTTCTGTTTATAAGTGCTTTGAGTTCTTATGGTAGACTGCACACCATTTTAGAAGTTTAGTGCTAGGTCAGTTTGATTTTATCCATGTAATGGCATGATGATTTTTTTTCCCTAATACATTACAACCTCTTTTAAAGCACTATATTATTAAAATAATTTAGGTATTTACTTTTAACCTTCTCTTCATGGGCATCTTTTCCTATGCATATCATGAGGTTTTAGTGAGTTGGAATCATAATTTAATTAAACTACTTTCTTTTCATGGTGTATCAATACATAGCATAAAAACATAGCTAATAATCCATATTTTAGTAGTACATAGGTTTTAAGTTTTTAATTTTATAAGGCAATATAAAAAAAATTAGAATTTTTCCTAGTGTGAGAATTATGACATTGTGACAATCCCCTTTTTTCTAATTTATTTACCACCTCTCCAATGAGTATGAAATCTAATGTAAATTACTTATTATAACATTGTCATCACTCAGGCAAAGCATAATTTTCATAGTTTTCAATCTTATTTGATTACAAAGCCATGAAATTGACAACCAGACCCCTTTTGTCATGCCCACCTGTCGCATTCTCTCTTTCAGAAATTGCCAATAGTTTTCTCTGCCATTCAATACTATATTATTTATAACCAATAGAAATCCAAGGTTTTCGTCTATCAAATGGTGATTATATTACGTTGTTTTCTGTACAGAGAATTGTCTATTTTGCTTCCAGTTGAAACTTGATTCCCATGGGAAAAACATCATTAAGCTTTGCTGAATTTTTAACGGCCCTTGTCACAGTTAGAATACCAGAAAAATTTTGATATTTATGAATCATTGTCTACTTTTTGCATGTTATTATTCTGTGTTCTTTGGTGCAGTACTACTAAAAAAAAAAAGTAGGGTTAAGTGTCATCGACAGTCCACAGCAAAGAAAAAAGACCCAGATAAGAACTTTTTACATGTGTATTCTTCATTTATTATTATAAAAGTAACTAAAATGTAATAATAGGAAACTTTTTATATTAGTTAAGGTGAAATAAATAATAATAGAATAAAATTTTTTCACAAGGTACACTCGCAAGTAGCTAGTGCATAATGTAGTTTGATAGCGTAACGTGAACTGCCAAGTAATTTACAACTTATGATGGTGTGAATATTAATTAGTCAGGGTTCAAAATGCAATAAGAAATAGAATTTAAGTATAAATAGATGTATACTATTATGAGTATAAAACTATTTAGAATAAACAAACGTAATCTCATATTACAATTTGAAATCATTCTAGAAAGAAAAAACTTTTAATTTAGATCTATTTCAAATTTATTTTTGGTGTTTAGAAGTCAGTCAAATTGACCAACCTTGTATAAAGTTACTGTAGAGAAAATAAGATAAAAGTATAAAGTTTTACTGAAAAAAATGTTTTAAATTTATTTAAGAGGTTTTAGAGATTATGCAAAAAAATTTGAGATTTGTGAGATGAAGAAAAGTATTTTTAATCATAATGTAGAAATCACTTAGCACTCTGACTGGTATGTAGAAATTTTATATATTCATGGACATATCTTTTGTAAAATTACTGCATTAAAAAATCTGATTTTCTGACATGATATCCCACTTTTGTCCCCATTTTCTTGTAATAATAATTCATGATTGTGTGGCAGCTAAGCATCGGTAGAATTATCGATGTACTGCTGTCTATGATGATGATGATGATG